GGGGGGGGGGGGGGGGGTGCATTGATGCAGTTTATTTGGCATCTGAAAATACATTTCCTCAAAGGTATTTTGAATCTGAAAAGAGTGAGAAGTAGTGTTAGGAGCTCAGCAGACAGTTTCAGGTTCACTCGTATGCTTTGTTGCTGCCAAGAACCTGCAGGAGTGATGGGGGGGCTCGGCTTAAAGACACGTCCCAGGGGCGTTGTCCCCACCTGTCGTTTTGCTCCTCAGCATGTCTGCCTAAAAACACTGCAGGATTTCTCAAACATGCATGAATGAGTCAAAGCAAGGCTTTGGGCATGTTTTTATATAAAACTCAAAAAAGTTGATTTTTACATGATATTGCCCCTTTAACAAATAAATTGGACAATAATCTGGCTATTTAGCGATATTTCCACAGTTGTGGTCTTGACTGGTCTTGAAACAGAATTCTGAGTTCTCAATGTCCGAGACGAGACCAAGACCATCAAAAAGTGTTCTTGAGTACTACAACACTACCATGAGCTACTGGATAGATTTTATTAAAAGTTTCAGGAAGTAGTAATTGGAAGTGCATCTGCAGTAGATTTACCAACACAACACGGTGGCAGCTGAGTCCTCCACAACACGTACTCTGAGCGTGCCATCTTGCAGTATTGCATAAGATTGCGCATAACAATATTTTTAAGGCTTGACCCAAAGGTCTCCATCGTTTCTCATGAAAAAGCAGCYGGTGGTACAAATCCTCTCGAGCAAAGCTACCTTTACTTTATATATAGACTTCTCAACACCTCTCCTCTAATCTCTGTGCAGCGTTGTTCGTAACGGAGATCTCCTGAGTCCCCCGTTCCGGTTCATCCTCCCTCGGAGCATGCAGCAGGACCTGGAGCAGGTCCTGAGTCTGATCACAGAGAAGGTCAGCTTACGGACCGGAGCCGTGCGCAGGTCAGCTGTCACATCTCCCCGCGGTCCTCTGCACGACGCCAACAGAGAGATGAAAAGTATTCTACTTGTTTGTCTCTCGTCTCAGACTGTGCTCTTTGGAAGGAGTCACCGTGTCTTCAGCCGGGGAGCTGGAGACGGGGCGATGCTACGTTGCTGTGGGAACCGAAAGGTTCAAGAAACTTCCTTATGTGGAGCTGCTGGATTCAAAAGCTACAGAGAGGTATTGTCAAGCACGACCCTCTGTAGGTGCAAAAATGTTTGTCTCTGGGGCTTCATTCTGCAAAATATTTTCTGAGACATTAAAGGATGAAAAAAAAAAGATTAAAATAGTTTATTTTCCAGACCGTACCCTGAAAAAAGAAGACTTCTGAGAAGAGCTGAGGTAAACATCCTCCTTTGTCCTATTTTCAAGTCTTAAAAACAGCCTTTCATTTAGTCTTTTATTTGCTGCATGCCTGGTCTGATTAACAACTTTCTGAACAAGTGAAAAAATAAAAATCAGGTTGTTTTGTTTTTTGTTTTTTTTTTTAGAACAGGAAAGCAGGAAGCGGTCCAGAAGACCAGTACAGTGACTCGGCTCTTCTCATCTCCCCGGAGGTAACAAAAACAAAAAAACAGTCCTTTTTAACATCCGTACATGATTGCTGAGGCCACCTGACATTTCATACAGCTGAGTAATAATTAAAACAGCTGTAAGCCATGATTTCAGTCAGATGGTCGCAGGGTGAAGTCGACGGGGGATGAAGCTGCAGTTCTGCAGGCCTCGCAGCAGACGGGCAGGAGAGACGCAGCAGACGAGGCGTCTGCGTTCTCCTCCAGGCCGGCGAAGATTCGCACAAACGGAACGAAACCACCGCCCTCTGATGGATCCAGTAAGGAGCCTAGACAAATCCAACATCACCTAACTCCTTGCATCTTTAAGCTGGGCTTAATTAAACATCTTCCTATCTATTGTTTGACAGTAAAGCCAAGTAAATTCAGAGGGGCAGCAAAAACAAGGAGAGAGGAGGTACAAGGTGCTGAGGAGGTGCAGGAGGATGAAAACACAGCTACAGAGCTTCCAGTTGATCAGGTTAGCTTCTGTTTTTAAACACGTACAGTACGATATGGAATCTGTTAATAAGAGCTTGGCTCAGTTTAGGTTTATTTTTCTGCTCTTGTGTAAAGAGAGTTGCAGAAATAGTGGAGAACGAGGAGTTAAATACCACAGAGGATGTTCTGCACAGCAGTCTGCAGGTAGGTAGATTTCAATCTACGTTGGTCACTAAGTAGAATATTTACTCAATTAATGAAGCAAATTTGAAATTTTTAATTATCACCCACCTAGAACTATCAAAACATACAGAAAGTATCACTGGACGTACATCCACAACTAACTTTTAGAATCAACACACATCAAGTTGGCTGCTGCAGCTTTGTTCACATTAGCAAACAGCCACTCGTAACATACTGAGACATAATTTGGTGTGGTAGTAGCTGAGATTGATTCATAACATATACTTTAAGCTTCAGGCAACAAATTTTGCATCAATTCGCATGCATCATTTGTAGGGTTTGACCAAAACGGCTACTACTCTATCTCTGCTCATCAAGAGATGATCTTACTTTGACATTTTGGCAGTGGCTGATATGCATTACTTTAAAAAAAAATCCATCCAAGATCTTCTGTATTTGGTTGCGTTTTGTGTTCTATAGTTCAGTTGCCATAAAAACGATTGTTTAGCTGATAGTCAGCTGCATTTTATACATTCATTATTAAAAGAACCAAAAAATTAAAACAGCTATTGTAGTGATTGTGCAAAATGTTGACCAGGATGTTTTCCCTCCTGCATGGTCAGTATTTAGTTTATTCAATAAACACCAAGCAGATGATTTATGAAAACCTAACATCAAATCTTTTTCTTTTTTTGGCTTTCGTCTAGACACCTACAGAAGTTATAAAAAGTGAGCACAACAAAGAACTTTCACAGAAGCACAATGCAATGAAGGTAATATATATAGTGTACACACACACACATACATATACTGTATTGTCACATTTAATGTACAAATTGTTTTCTTTCTGAAAGGAATCAGAGTTGAAAGAGGAAATCACAGCTGAAATAATGGTACATTCACCCACACACACCCAAGCAGCATGCTGGTAACCTGTTTATAATGAGTTTGTGAACAGAAATACATCCATCTAATTTTTTTTTTTTTTTTGTCGTAACAGGATGCTGAGCTGAAACAGACATCTCCAAAGTCAAGGTCTTCATCATCCCTCTCCCAGAGAAAGATCAGGGAACGACAGGCAAGTTTACAAATGCATTTTTTAATTTACTGACATCATTATATCTGAGATCAGTGATCTGAGACTGACTATATTCATGTATTGTTTTGCTGACAGGAGAGCCTGCAGAACACCTCATCAGTTAAAACAGAACAGAACCATCATCAGGAGGGTGTCACAGCCTCTTAACAGCAGCACTGCTCATTACTGACTGTTTACTGCTCCCACAAACGTTTATTTGTACTGGTAGTACTTTAACTGTGGTAAACAGCAAAGCAACATTTTTTCCCCTTTACTAGAAACTGTTAGAAAGGTGACATAACTCCCCYAAACCTTTCAGATGTAACATTTTCTATAAGTGATGTTTAATATAACCAACATCAGTAAAATTGTGTTAATCCTGTTTGGATGCTGACACTGTATATATGTTCAATGCTGCAATTTGTTCCATTTATGTACTTTAAAAACATTTTATAAACACGTTAGTTCTGTGCAGTTTGAATAAATGTATAGTATGGAAGATAACAAATAAGTTGTCCAATAGTTTATAACTAGAATATAAAGAACATGAGCTGAACAGAACTAGACTTTTGTACGGTGTCTGGAATGAATGAAATACTGCAACAATAAAAATATATATTACTATACATGTGCCATGTGTTTATAGATATATACAGCGCATCCAGTGATTTAGGTATTAAATCATATTAAAATATAAATCAGCAAAGAGTCCTWTACAAGACAACATAAGAAGGGGTGGAATTGAAAATTTACATTAGCTGCCTGTATGTTCTATTTTTCATTTTTAAAATGGACACAGATACTATACTCCCACCCTTGTCCACTTCAAATGTGCGTTCATGTTGAAGGGTTTGAGTGCYAAGTGCGTCCCACACCTGCCCTTTGCCCCGCCCATTTTGGGTACTATTTCTGCCTTTACGTAAAGTCCGCATTTTTACGGACTTCGGCGAAGTGTATTACCCACGATTCATCGCTGTGTGTGACGTTTTGAATTAAAAGGTGGAAATCTGGCAATGTCCACTGAGCACCTTCCAGTTTAGTGGTGGCAGTAATGCACTTATATTAGTCTGCCAACCACCAATAAATACAAAAGAAGAAGAAATTTTAGAAGTTAGTTCTCATACTCTGATGTATAAGCCTCCTTCGCTTCCTGAGCTTTCTTCTCCTAAAAACGATTGCTTTTAGTAGTTCTATCATTTTTAGCGATACAAATGCCAAAACAAGTGACCGGTCCCGCCATGTTGGATGTCACAGTTACGACGCAGAAGTGCAAGTCGATGACGTAATCTGTACTGTCCTAATTCTCAATTGTTTTGCACGCTTGTAACCTGCGCACTCGAACACTTATGTGCACTTAAGACTGAATCCACACTTCAGAGGGGCGAAGGGTGCGCACTGAGCATTGGGACTGMGCCAATGTATTTGTAAACTGAGGAGGCGGCGTGTGATTGGTCCATTTCAACGCCTCCTGCTTTAAAGGGGACATGTCAGGCAAAATCCACATTTTTAGCTGCTGTGTTTTTGAGTCTCTAAGCGTGCCGAAAAGTTTAGTCTCTCCTGAAGTTGCGTAGATATATTCAGTTTTCTCTATTTTCTATGTTTTCTGCACTATTGTGTCACAGTATTTGCAACAGAATTGCCAACTAAGGTCCGAACTTAACAACTACAGTTTGGTCGTTTTCATTCTCTGGTTCTGGGTCAGACTCTGGTTCCAATATGTAAGGCTGCATGGACAAGTCTTGTTGACATATTTTAAATAATTTGTAAATAAAGGTTTCTGCACGGCTAGATAGCTGTAACCTGTCACTATCAAACTGGAATGAACCGGTCTGGAAGCGCCTTGTTTGGATTTAATGGAACAGCATCAAAATGAGTTGATCTGAGACACACCTCAGAAAATGGGATGAAATGGGGACTGGTTAAGTTGGAATAAAGAGGAATTCAAACCAAAATCATTGCAGTTCCACTTTATGTAGACACCAACTGAATGATTTAAATGTCAAAAAGAAGGATTTAAAAGCTTGATGTCTCTATGGCATCTTTGCAGATTCCGGTCACATACAGCAACAGAGCYCTCAGTAAGAGCAAACCACTGATTTTCTTCTTTAGTGAGCGCCATAAATCCACTCTAGCTTTGGACTGAACCCTCGATGAACTCGCTTTAACAACTTGTTCCTACACAGGCCTATTGATGCTCCAGTTAACTCCATTCTCCCCGTCTTATCGCTGCTCTGCTTAAATCTAACCAGTCCCCCTCCCGTCGTGATCCTGCTGCAGCTTTGGTCTCATTTAACTCCCRGCTGACAACTCCCTTAACAGAACCAGAAAATTAGCTCTGATCTCCATCTCCYTTAGAGCTCAGGGTGGGTCGTGTTCCGTTTCTGCGTGTCGCCGTCATTCAGGGAGCTAATAATGCACAGAGTGATGCCAGCCATGGTGAGGAACATCCCGGCTACAGCCTCTGCAGAGTGAAAGAAAGAATAGGATTGTTTGTAAAGTACTTTGAAAGAAATATAATACTTAAACATTACTCAGAGAAAAGGAAATGAGCGGCTCACGTTTGCCTCCAAATTCTTCTCCCAGTAGCTTCCCAGTCAGCAGAGTGAAAAGGAAGGTGAGCGAGTTGGCTACAGGGACAGCAAGGGATAACTCTGAAGGAGAAGATTTCTTTAAATGAGTTTTACATCTTTAAGCCAAACAGAGGTTCTAATAGACAGAGCTTTGATTTGATGAAGCTAAACATTAAAAATATGACTTCTTTGTAGTTTTCTGTGCTTGTTGTCCCTGAACCTTTAAGGGGTATTCACTAGTTTTCCAACTTCCTCCCACTGAACATTGAACTGAACTATGGAATAAATGTGAGTCTTTACAGTTGTTTGTTTTAATCATGTAAAGAGCTTCCATTTGGCTTTTAGTCAACACAAACAGAGACATTTTATTTACACAAAGCATTCTGGGTAAATGATGACGTGGATAGGTCCTCGGTGTGAGCGAGCTTTACCCTGAAGGTTAATCTTGGACAATATCTGATGATCGACTCTTTTAAATGAAACCAGAGAGCGTTGACAGAGAGAAGGTAGAAATGACTCAGCCTGTAACTGAAAATATGGATGGAGGACAACAGAGCTGCTTCATGGAAGAAGAACCTCAGCTTAGCCTGTTAGCTTTTGCGCAAGCGCCAACGCTATATATTGCCTTATATGTATTAGCTCGGTGCTAAACTGAGCTAAACTGAGGTCCTCGTCCTCCATCCATATTTTCAGTTGCAGGCTGAGTCATTTCTACCTTCTCTCTGTCAACGCTCTCTGGTTTCATTTAAAAGAGTCGATCATCAGATATTGTCCAAGATTAATCTTCAGGGT